CCCGGGGTGAGCAGCGCCAGCGGGAGCTAAGGAGAGACCCGAGACAACGGCCGCAGTTTTTTTGTGTCCTGATCTGCAGAGTGGCCGTCCACCCCTTCTGCTTCAGGGCACGGTACCTGCGAGAGGGAAGCCGCATCGTCCAGACCCGGCCCAGCTGTGGCGGGCGGCTGTCCCACGCCGAAGGGGGAAGCTAGCACCGGGGCATGAATACCAGGAGGGGCGTCGGGGGCTGCCCGCCAACAGCTGGGTCGGGGCGTGGAGCGTGTGTGGCGGTGGTCAAACATTTTCAGACCCAGACTGAGAGAAGAGGACAGACTCTAACTTTATAGACATTTTATTTTTCTGGAACAAAGGTGTAGAAATTGGAAAGAACTAGCAGCAGGGATGGCCAGGGGGCTTCACCAGGGGGTCAAGGGGTTTCTCCTGTTCTGTATTTGCTTGTTTGTTCTGTTTTTAATACATAACCGTATGTAAGGCAATGCCCTTCCTGAAACATGCGTGACTGCCCCCCGGAGCCTGCCGCTCTCTGCCCCGGCCACACGCCGCCTGCGGGCGCCGGCCACCAGGAGCTGCGCTTGACGCGAGATGCTGATGTTCTGGGCACCCCGTGGCACTCAGAGCCCTTCCGGAACCTGCCGGTGGGGCAAGATCTGCGCCGCCCCTAGCCCAGGCCCCCCCTGCATTTCCTGCTACTCTGCGAGCTGCTCGCCCGCCCTCCATCTTGCCGGCCCTGTTTCTCACAGAAATTCCTCGAATGTTTCGTCATAAGGATGCATTTCGCTGCAAGTTCAATCACGGGCACAGATTTTCTCCATTTTTATTTATTTCAAAGATTATTTGTGATGAGGGGAATTGAAAACTGAAGGCAGACAACTATTTCGAATTGTCCTTCTTCATCCTTCAGGCGACTCACATGGCCCTGCCTGGACGGATGGGGCTGATTTTCACGTCGCAGTCTCGGAAGGCAGATTTTCACCTCGCACCCCTGCGCCCGATCGGGGCTTCGCGCTTCCCCCGGTCACGGACAGGGGTGCACATAGCAGCTCTGTGACTCTTAAAAAGCCGTGACCCTGGTGGTCCGGTCTCAGAACAGTGTCGTGATTAGAAAACACCGTCCGGCAACCAGAGAGTACATCAGACTGATCGCCTTCGTTCTCCCTCCAGTTCCCGCACACTCCCGGGAATCTTCTCCTGGAGTCTCCCAAACTCTCCTGGCCCCTGCCTTTGCCCCTCTTCCCTCCCTCCCCCACCTTCCTCATCTTTTCCCAAAATATGGCATCTCAAAAAAGACCAAAAAGAACAGAAAGAGAAGAAGAGGAAGAAGCTGACTTGGAGAAGGCAGGACTGGCCCAGGGCGGTGTCACACGCCAAGAAGCAGAACGGCACAGCCCCGAGGCACAGCCAGGCTGCGCGTTCGCGTCGAAACTCAGCCGCTTGGCAGCCGTGAGACCTCGGGCAAGTCACCTCCCTACCCAGTGCCCGCATCTGCCAAGTGATGGTGGCGGTAGCACCTGCCTCGCAGGACTGTGGAGAGGAGAGAACGGGTTTATGTCCTCAACGCCTTTACGAGGGTGCCTGGCACATACCACGGGCTATAGAGTCAGCGTGTAACATTAATATGTAGTGAGCTATACTCTCAGCACACCAGGAAGAGTCTGGCATAGACTAGGGCTCAAAGAGTGCTTATCGAACGAAATTCATTTGTTTGTTATTTTGCCTTTGATAGTCATATTAATGGGAAATGTCTGCATTTCCAGTAGGACAACTCCATCCTCGTGCCATCACAAATCATGCCCCCAACAGAAAAAGAAACATCGTGCAAGAATTGCCATGGACTTTCACCATGGTTAGTTTATACCCACATCCCTTCATGTGGACACGAAGATGCAGAGAAAATGAACACAGCCCTGCTGTCTGGTTGCACAAAGAGTGGCCCATCAACATGGAGTCCCAGGGCCTCGGGACGTGGCTCCCGTGGCCAGGTAGGGTGACAGGTGAGCCAGTCCCGCCACGGAACAGTAAACACATTCACACAAACGTCTTGGTTCAAACCATCGAGGCAGAAAAGCTGTAAGAGACTCACCAGAAAGAAATTCAAAGGACTCTTCAGCCAAGTTGAAAAGCTTCCGACCACAGGGAGAAACATCCGTGTCGCCGGAGCTGGGAATTAGGAGAAGCGAAAGTAAGACCCTGGGCGTTGGAGAGAATGGTGAGAAGTGAGGGAAGCCCCTGGCCTGGGAACAAAGCCCCGTCTGAGCCCCAGCTGGGAGGGTCCGACACTGGCTCTGGAGGTGAGCATGACCCAGTGGTACCCAGGGGAACCAGTGAGGTGAAGGAGCATCTCTCCAGACACTCGGGGAAAAGCAGAGACATTTCAGGCTCAAAGAACTGAGTGCAGAAGCGGGTCCATTTGCAGAACCACACCACGGTCCCTGCGCGTGAGTCAGGACAGTGCAGTCTCTGAGGTCACACTTGGGACTGTCTGTTTCTCCCAACCGTGATCTTCCCTGGGTGGCTGACTTGGTGCTGAGCCTAAATTAGACCCCAGTTGTATCCATTTATTCATTAGACATTGTTATTTTGCTTCAAATTTGTTCAAAACCAAAAGTCTTGATAGAGAAGAAGTTCCCAGGCTGGCGGCCTGGCCTCGCTGGAAGCAAACCCACGTGACAGAAATCTCCAGGCAATATTGATGCTTCTCTATAAGGTGTGTGTCATTAGTCCTCATCTAGACACATTTGTAAACATAACTTGATGTAAGTCATACACAATATATCACTAAAAATGCATGAATTATGGCACCCTCCAATGATTATTTAATAATTAAAAGAGAACAATGAAACGACCTTTATCTGATTTGGAGGAAGCTGGGATCTGTCTACCTTTGATTGCTTAAACACATTCCGCACCTCTCAAGGACACTGGCTGAAGGAGAAAGCCAAGCATACAATCTGCAAGAAGTTACGGGGGAAATATTGGTGCTGGGTTCCCTTCTCCCCAGTGATGGTTCGGGCTGTGAGGGACTGGGACAGGGAGGGGGTCACAATAGCTAATCAAAAAAAGAAAGATAAAGAAATAGAGATCAGAAGATTTCATACTGAAATAAAGAAATTCATGTTGCCTTAAATATAATTTGTGTTAGTTACATTTCAATTCCTAATTTATACATAGCAGGGTTGATAAAGAATTACATTATAACAAAATTAGCCGGAATAATTAGCATAGTGTATGTGCCACTGATGAAGCCCCCAGCAGATCGCGTGGTAATTAAGATCAGTGAGTGCCGTATTTTGAGGCTTTGTCGTCTTATTATCTGCCTAACAAGTGCCTCATCTTTACCTCCCTTCTGATTTGAAGTTTGATAGCAGTCTCTAATAATCTCGTTCTGTTTTCTACCCCAATGCTGATAATTTTCCTGTGGTCACTACCCTCCCTCTCATTGTATTTATACAAATGTGCGAGTGCTAGATTTCTCTCTGAATGTAAGGCGTTCGATGCTGCAAAGCGTCTGTGTTAGGAAATTTAAGCTCAAAAATCTCTCTCCAAACCCCTAGTTCTTTGGCCAAGAATGAAGCGGAGCCCAGCCACGCTCTGCACTTTGGCCAGACATCTGGACTGGAGACAGACCCCCCAGGATCGCACCTCCTCGCTGGGCAGAGTCCATTGCCGGGGATCCCAATATGTCTCCCCCAGTGTCTGTGACACTGGAGGACAGTCACGGCAGTGGCTCTGGCCGCCTGCTCATCCATGAGCCCAGCCCATGACACCGTTGTTCCTTCACTCAGGGAGTCAGGGTTGGCTGTTGTCACTGCAAAATCCACTGGGGTTTTATCATAGAAGGCAAGCAGCTACTATTGTCAAAGAATAGAAGGCTTGGGGAGATTAACTAAGTTATTCATCACTGGCTGGGCCATTCCTGGTACATCTCTGTAGCCAGAAACCGGAAGGTCCATCTGCTTCACTCCAAGTCCTCTGATTTAAAAAATGTTAATCTGATCCAAAAAACACCTTTACAGAAACATCTAGAATAATGTTTGACCAAGCATCTGGGCGCCGACTCCCAACCAGGTTGACGCATAAAATGAATCACAAGAGGAGAAGAAAGAGAGTGAAAAAGTGACAAGGTGGCAAGACGGGTGGCACAGTTGGGAGACCACGCGAAAGCCACACGGCCAGCCCGGGGCCCCCCAGAGACCCGAGCACACGTGGCATTCGCAGGGAAACCGCTCACACAGCTGCGCCCGGGTACAGGCTGACGTGGGCGACCCCGGGACACTGAAGACAGAGGTCACTGTGAGAAAAAAAGCCTCCCACCCCCAAGTGCCCAGAAATCCACGCGGGGGGCTCTGCGCTGCACGTGTCGTGGAATTATGTGCTCTGAACCACGTCTACCAGCCTCGAGGGCGGGGAGGCTGCAGCTGATATTCAGGTTACTTTATTTTCCACTTTTGTGATGCTTTGTCTTCCTGAGACCAGCCAGTCCGTCCCCGAATTTGGAAACTGAAGATGCCGCTCCATTCTACTCGGTTCAAGGCACGTCCAATTTGCAGGCGACCGGCTCCGCTTTTGCATGAAGCGAAGGAGCGCGAGGTGTAGAATATTAGAAACGTCCCTTTCAACAGAACAGACGTTGCAAGCCCAGTCTCGGGAAAGGTTTTTAAAGTTTCTGGATCGAGCCTCAGTTGTGATAAAAGAAGACATTATTCCACAATTCCTACGAGAGCTTTCTTTGAAAATACTGTCCCCCCTCGCCCGGCTCACAAACATGTCTGCTGCCCCGTCTCTAGAATAATCCCTCACTGCAGCCGCTGCAAAGACTCCTTCACGTCCCCCTGTGAGGAAGGGTGGCAGGGCCGTTGGCGGGTGGCCCTCACCCGCCTGTAACAGGAGCCGGGTGTCCTCTATTTATAGCAGCGCCCGCACCACTCTGGGGCCGGCTGCTGACTCGGACGGGCTTCAGAAGGGGGAGAAGGGCTGGACCGTCCACAGGCGACATCACGATGTCCACCTCTGATGATCTTCCCGACTACCCGCTGAACTCAGATTTGGTGAAGAGATTAAAGGCTGCCCTGGACGCCAAGGATGAGGAGGGCGTGAGGAGTGTGATCTGTGCTGAAGTCCGGCCCGTGGACGCCGTGATAGAGCTGGCCAATGACGACTGGATGAAAGACCCCGCGGCTCAGCTGCCCCCCGGCATGCTGCTAGGTAACCGGACGGCGTCTGCTCGGTCTGGAACCAAACTACTAAATCACGTTGATGGAGGGCGGGGGGCATTCCTGGAGGTAGGGGGCAGATGGCTGGAAAAGGCAGACGACATGTACTTGGACATCTGACTTCCGTGCCTATGTGCAGACACACATACTGCATGTACTGTGTGTGTGTGTGTGTGTGTGTGTGTGTGTGTGTGTGCTACACAACGCGAAACATGAACCCTCGGCTCCAGCGTTCTAACACAGAGGCAGCTCTCGTGGCTCCATTTATTTCCAAGTTCATCCATTTGCATGTGTAAATTTCATCTACTTATAACCAATCATAGACGTAATTTCGTGCTCTGCTCCCTTGAGATCTAAAAAGTCTAAACCTAAAGTATTTTCCATGTTGCTACGTCGTCTTCCTAATTCCAATCACCTATGGAGGTGATTAACCACAAAATCCTCAAAGCGAACGCTTACAAAGGGAGAGTATTTGTTTACATTTTTACTTCCATAAATAATGCCGCGATGAGCGTCTTTGTTAGCATGCATATAGCTTCTCTCGTATTTGGGGATATATCCTCAGGGTACATTGCTGGGAGCAGAATTACTAGGACAAGAATATAAAGTTTGCTTGAAGTGTGTTTCCAAATTGTTTTCCAAAGGGATTTCTGTTCCCCGTGACAGTGGGAGGGCGTGTTTCAGCTCAACCTCACCCACGAGCGTTGCTGGTCATGAGTGTTCGAGTTGCAGGTTTAGCAAGCGTCCGCCGGTGGTGCTTCCTCAGCACGACCTCCTGCCTGTCCGTCCTCTCCTCACTGCTGAGCATGAAGTCCTGTGCTTCTTTGTAGGCCTCTGGGGTCCCTGGGCACTATCTCCCCATCTCTTTGAATCTTTTTTTTGTCATTTTGTGGGACTTCTTCACATACCGTAGAGATAACCCCTTTGTCGAATTTGCTGAAGGTGTTTTCCCTGGTCTGTGCCACTTTCCAGCTTGTCAGAGCTGCCCCCAGTGTTGGTCTTGCCCTGCGGGATGTTGGGGGCTGCTGTCCCCCACAGACCCCCTCCCAATACATGAGCAGGCAGGATACACACCCGTGCACACACACGTACACGTGTGCATATGCACACGTGTGTACAGCAGGCAGAAGGAACACTGAAGTGGAACGTGCGTGGGACATTGATTCTAGGGAACAGAGCTTTCGACGTGACGAAGAGCGCAGTCTACGACTGGGGCTTCCAGGGTGTGGAAGCCCACCCTGTGGTCCGGCTGTGCTTCCCGGGCTGCCTCTCACTGGGGGACTTAAGCAATTTGCTTCAGGCTTTGGGGAGAAACCATCTCCTGCTTCTTCTTTACCTTGTTGTTCCTAATATCTGAGGTTTGTGGACCCAGGAGCTGTGATCCCAAACTTGGCACCTGTCACCTCTCGGGGAGACCGCCCCGGGGGCTGGGAGGGGAGACTCCGTGATCATAAATGGCGATTTGCCCGAGAGCCTTGAGCTATGCATTTTGCATTTCCCTCTAGACCCATCCTGCCTGGCAGCCCCAAGAGGCTGATCTTGAGGGACTGCGTCAGTCCGCCCCGGCCTCTGACTCCTGTGTTGGGTGCAGTTACTGAAAGGAGCAGAGGGGGCGGGCAGGCATTCGCTCCCCGGGACTCCTCTGCTGCGGTTTGGCGGCCCCTTCTGCTGAAGGCTCAGCTCCTGGCTGGCAACCCCCCTCCCCGCCGGCCCCTTCAGGTGCAGGGATGGGAAAGGCCTCCGACGACGACAGCTACTGCCGCCCTAGTTGGTTCCCTTAACCTCGCCTGCCTTCCCTGAGGTCCTGCGTCTGCTTTCTGTGGGATTCTGCCTGGAGCAAGTGTCCCTCTCCACATCCCCCTTCGCAACCTGTCCCGGCCGGCTGAATATTTGTGTACTCGGAATCCTTGAGTTAAAATACTGTTTTGCTTCATGTTACTAATTGCGCTGCAAAATCTTTCCTGTCCCCAACACTTTACTAAATGAAATATCTGTTAGGAAAGGCACGCTCCCTTCCGCAATAGATCCATTAAGTTACAGCTTCTATGCAGATGTACATTTCCTACCAAACGGCACGGCTCAGGGGGACAGGGACGGTTGGGTGCTGAGGACGTACCTTCAGTGCTTGAGTCTGTTCCCGGTGGTTTCATGTCAGGATGGTTGTTCCTAAATGAACAAGCGTGTGATCCTTAGGGCACGTCTTGTCACCAACGACTCCATCACCGAGAAAGCGGCTGCACTTCAGGTCAAAGAGGGAGCAGACCTGCGTGCTGGGTGTGCCACTCGGCTACAGTGGGAATCTAGGATTTGAAGGACACCAAAAAAGAGGGTAGGAGAGTGAGTCTAGCTGGGAGGTAAGTGAAGGCAGCTGTCCCGGTGAGAGAAGGCAAGGGTCCAAGGCAGGAGGATGGACACAAAGGTAGGGACAAAGATGAGAAATACGTGGGAGGCTCGATGGGAAGGTCGTGGTGATGATTAGAGGATAGCGCCACCAGCTGAGAAAGAAAATGGAGGGGTCTGTGATTGTGACAATGTATTGAGCTTCTCCCACTGAGCTGTGTGACCTCAGGAAAGTCACTTTCCCTCTCTGTACCAATGTCTCCGCTTGTTAACAGGGTGTGAGATTAGACTGGTGCTTTCCAAACAGATCCCCAAGCTTCCATGGAGCTCTCTATGGTGGGATGAGCTTGGGAAACGCCCCTTGCTGAATCCCCTCTCAGAGACTAGCACAAGGACGCAGCAAAGAGGGACTCAAGGGTTGCCATTGCATTTGGGATGCTTCCTCATCTGCCCCAGAACCGTCACGTCTGCTGAGAGCACGTAGAAGCGGTGGTTTGCAGACGCTCTTCGGGAACCGCTGGGTCGGATCATTGTTTAGGTTCCTTCCTCCTCCGCCCTTCTCTGAGGCCGTGGTCCTGAAGACTGGCTGTCGCAGCCTCAGGAGGGCGCGGGTTCCTTTACTCTGAGCGTGACAGCAAGCAGTGGCTAAGGCGAGCGCAGGTCCTTGGAGAGCACGTCTGATGGAGCGAAGCTGTCCGGGCTCACATGCACGTGTGGGTCTGCAAAATCTGTGAAGAGTGGTTGGAATTTATGGGAACAACCTTGAAATGCGGCCCGTGTTGGGAGTGGACACTGCCTGGAATACACATACTGCATGTACTGTGTGTGTGTGTGTGTGTGTGTGTGTGTGTGTGTGCTACACAACGCGAAACATGAACCCTCGGCTCCAGCGTTCTAACACAGAGGCAGCTCTCGTGGCTCCATTTATTTCCAAGTTCATCCATTTGCATGTGTAAATTTCATCTACTTATAACCAATCATAGACGTAATTTCGTGCTCTGCTCCCTTGAGATCTAAAAAGTCTAAACCTAAAGTATTTTCCATGTTGCTACGTCGTCTTCCTAATTCAATCACCTATGGAGGTGATTAACCACAAAATCCTCAAAGCGAACGCTTACAAAGGGAGAGTATTTGTTTACATTTTTACTTCCATAAATAATGCCGCGATGAGCGTCTTTGTTAGCATGCGTATAGCTTCTCTCGTATTTGGGGATATATCCTCAGGGTACATTGCTGGGAGCAGAATTACTAGGACAAGAATATAAAGTTTGCTTGAAGTGTGTTTCCAAATTGTTTTCCAAAGGGATTTCTGTTCCCCGTGACAGTGGGAGGGCGTGTTTCAGCGCAACCTCACCCACGAGCATTGCTGGTCATGAGTGTTCGAGTTGCAGGTTTAGCAAGCGTCCGCCGGTGGTGCTTCCTCAGCACGACCTCCTGCCTGTCCGTCCTCTCCTCACTGCTGAGCATGAAGTCCTGTGCTTCTTTGTAGGCCTCTGGGGTCCCTGGGCACTATCTCCCCATCTCTTTGAATCTTTTTTTTGTCATTTTGTGGGACTTCTTCACATACCGTAGAGATAACCCCTTTGTCGAATTTGCTGAAGGTGTTTTCCCTGGTCTGTGCCACTTTCCAGCTTGTCAGAGCTGCCCCCAGCGTTGGTCTTGCCCTGCGGGATGTTGGGGGCTGCTGTCCCCCACAGACCCCCTCCCAATACATGAGCAGGCAAGATACACACCCGTGCACACACACGTACACGTGTGCATATGCACACGTGTGTACAGCAGGCAGAAGGAACACTGAAATGGAACGTGCGTGGGACATTGATTCTAGGGAACAGAGCTTTCGACGTGACGAAGAGCGCAGTCTATGACTGGGGCTTCCAGGGTGTGGAAGCCCACCCTGTGGTCCGGCTGTGCTTCCCGGGCTGCCTCTCACTGGGGGACTTAAGCAATTTGCTTCAGGCTTTGGGGAGAAACCATCTCCTGCTTCTTCTTTACCTTGTTGTTCCTAATTTCTGAGGTTTGTGGACCTACGAGTTGTGATCCCAAACTTGGCACCTGTCACCTTTTGGGGAGACCGCCCCAGGGGCTGGGAGGGGAGACTCCGTGATCATAAATGGTGATTTGCCCGAGAGCCTTGAGCTATGCATTTTGCATTTCCCTCTAGACCCATCCTGCCTGGCAGCCCCAAGAGGCTGATCTCGAGGGACTGAGTCAGTCCGCCCCAGCCTCTGACTCCTGTGTTGGGTGCAGTTACTGAAAGGAGCAGAGGGGGCGGGCAGGCATTCGCTCCCCGGGACCCCTCCCTGCCAGGTCGCTGCTGTGGTTTGGCGGCCCCTTCTGCTGCAGGCTCAGCTCCTGGCTGGCAACCCCCCTCCCCGCCGGCCCCTTCAGGTGCAGGGATGGGAAAGGCCTCCGACGACGACAGCTGCTGCCGGCCTAGTTGGTTCCCTTAACCTCGCCTGCCTTCCCTGAGGTCCTGCGTCTGCTTTCTGTGGGGTCAAAGAGGGAGCAGACCTGCGTGCTGGGTGTGCCACTCGGCTGCAATGGGAGTCTAGGATTTGAAGGACACCAAAAAAGAGGGTAGGAGAGTGAGTCTAGCTGGGAAGTAAGTGAAGGCAGCTGTCCCGGTGAGAGAAGGCAAGGGTCCAAGGC